CTATTTGCTCCATTTCAGAGAGAGAGAGGGAGAGAGCAACTTGCGTAAAGATGCACAGCTGTTAAGGCTCAGGGCTGAGACAGAGCATGAGTAGTCTAGCTTCTAAGCTAGCAGTCTTTATTAAGGCTCATTACATCAATAAAGATCAAGCATTGTTTGTACAAATGTTTGGATACTCAATTTCTCAAGAGCGTTTATCAAAAATCTTTTACAGGTCCTATAGACTGAGGAATCAAAATCAAAAAAAAAAAAAAAAGACTTACTTCCAGTGTTCAAAGTTCACAGACTAACATGTTAAATATCCAAAAAAAACCCCAAAATACAAAAAATTTTAAGTGCTGAAATAAAAAAAGAATGTGAATTTGTAATTGAAACCCCAAAGAGAGTACAATAAAATCTGTTTGGGAACTCAAGAAAGCTCAAGAAGGCTCAATTTATCTTGGTTTTAAGTAAGTAATACTTTCCTATCAGGAAAAGAAAGAAAAAGACATTTAAGCGGAAGAAATTACAAGAATAAAATTACGAATTATGAAATACTGAATAAAATACTGAATTATGAAAGTGCTCAACCTAAAGACTAGAGTAATCTAGAACAGTGCCTTTCAAACTTTAGCCTGCAAACCTGTCATCTGGGATTAAAAATAAAAGTACATTATGGTTGAACGGGAAGTGGGACTCTTCAGTCCTAAGAATCTCTCAACGGAGGCAGATGCTGCTGATCTTCTGGCCACAATTGGAGTGCAAGACTTGAACAGTGGTCCTCAGCATGTAGCCTTAGACTGCCTGCATCAGAATTGTCCAGGCTGATTGCTAAAAACTTACCTTCCCAGCCTATCTGAGATGTACCAAATCAGACTGGAGTGAGATGGAGAGGGAAGTATTCATTTTAAACACGTGGTTACCACATGATTCTCATGTTTACTAAATTTGAAAACCATTAGGTTTAGGAGGTCAGAGACAGCATGAAAAGAGTCTGGAAGGTGAGTCCAGCAAAACTGTGAACTAGGGAATCTTTAATCTTATTTAGGAGTTTGAATTTTATTACATAGGCAATGGGTGACAATAGAAGGTTTTAAATGAACACTGACTTCATAGATTTGTGTCTTATGCAGATCATTTTAGAAGCAATCTAAAAATAGATGGAAGCACAACAGGATAACTTGTATGGATCTTCCCTACTGACAAGTCAAGTCTATAAAATGGAACAAAATATATAACATAAACAGTCCCAGGTAGTGAAGAACATGAAGACAGAACTGTGACCTTGGGAGGAGGGAAAGATACAATGCAAGCCCCTACTGTATTCCATGATTGCACTGGCTTTCTGCCTGAGATAGTTTTCTGTCACAGAGGAGAAGGTGGAAGGGCAGTCTAATTGAGTTGACAGCGGAGATCAGCTTTCTGTGATTACAAAATGGTTGCAATTTGAGGAATAAGGTAACAGAGCACAAAAAGAAGCTTCACAGAGAGAGAACTGTCAAAGTCTGCATGGAGATTCAATATATGTTCTTACTCTGATTTGTATAGACATAGACAGAGACTTAATAGGATGGAGAAAAGATCACCTGATTTATGGCTGAAATGTGAATGGTTATGATATCAGAGGCCATGCAGTACTAGGAGATTTTAGAATTTCAGCCAGCCAGAATGGAGAGACTTTATTGAATAACTTGGGCATTCAGGTAGGATTCCAACAATACATGCCTTAGAAATAAGAACCATATTCAGAAATGAGGACCATGTCCTAGAGTAATAGGTATGCCAAGTGTTGGCAAAGATGTGGAACAACTGGAATTCTCATGCACTGCTAATGCGAATGGAAAATTATATAGCCATTTTGGTAAATAAAGAGTTTGGCATTTTCTTATTAAAATTAAATATGCACTTATGATATGATCCAGCAATTCCACTCCTAGTATTGCCCAAGAGAAATGAAAACATATGTTCAAACAAAGATTTGTACAAGAATGTTAATAGTAGTTCTATATGTAACAGTTAAAACTAAAAACACTCACATGTCCATCAACAAATGAATGGTAAAACAAATTGTGGCATATCTTTATAAGGGAATACAACTTTCCAATAAAAGAAATTAATCACTGAACACATTAACAATAGCATTATAGCTAGGAGAAATCATTTATAAGAGAAAAGAAAATGGAATGGATTGCATTCATATAAAATTCTGGAAAGGAGGAAACTATAGGAATAGAAAAGACATCAGTGGTTTCCAGAGGTCAAGTGGGATGGAGGAGGGAACTGATTGCAAGAAGATATGAGGGAACTTCTGTATATGACAGAAGAGTCTTATATCATGATACTAATGATAGTATGTGACTACATACATTTTCAAAAGTCTTCAAATTGTACACTTAAAATTGTGAATTCTGTTATGTATAAATTATACCTCAACTAATCTAACCCCTTAAGAAGAAATAAAACAAACAAAAACATCAAAAAACCAAAGAAGTATGAGAGTTAACCATCCACATGGCACTGAAAAGTTAAACACTTGCTCTGTTCTTACTAATGAAAGCAGGCATGCCCCCACTGGTAAAAATACTCAGCTCTGAGGCAGGCCCAGCATTTGAGGGTGTGTAATTGAATGTGGCCAAAAAAAAAAAAAAAAAAAAGATGTGAAAATTACATTATTCATTATATATAAATAATTTGTTTGTGTCAAAAATATTAAGATTAAGAAAGGCAAGGAAAGGCAGAGTAACTCCTTCAGATTAAAGGAGATTATAGAAACAAGAAAACTGAAAGTACGACTCTGGATTAAATGCTAAACAGCAACAATAACAACAAAACAGTTGTAAATGACACTGCTGGGACAACTGACCAAACTTGAATTTGGACTGTGGATTAGATAAATAGTATTGTATCAATGTCACATTTTCTGATTTTGATAATTATATTATGATTATGTAAGTGAATTTCATTTTTTTAAGGAATAAAGATACAAGTATTTAGTAGCAATAGGGAATGCTGTCTTCAGTTTACTTTCAAATGATTCAGAAAATAAATAGAGTGATAACAGAGATGGAACAAAATGTAAACAGTCAGTAAATCTGGATAAAGTGTACATAGGAGTTTCTTGTAAGAGTCTGGAAATTTGTTTGTTTGAAATATTAAAATTGAAAGTCATTAAAATATGTGGGAGAACAGAACTGCAGCTCCAAATGAACCAGATGCCTGCTGCAGTTGTCCCGGAAGGGACAGTTAGAACTAGATCGAATCCAATGGTGGGATAAATGGCTGTACTGTTTCTGTGTTTAAAGTGAAGTGATGTACTTAATTTGTTTTTATCTTTGTTAAGAAATAGAGTAATCATGCATTCTATTATCGCTTCTTAAGGATTTTTGCCTACCTTGTGTCCTAAGATTCTAAATTTGTTTAAACTTGCTATTAAAAAAAGTTATAGTCCATCTATCCTCCTGTAAAACACAAGAAAACAGAAGAACTAGAGCAAAGGGAACTCTAAAAGTGGAAATTCCGTTTTGATAAACAGAGATGGTAGAAATAAACTCCCTAAAGATTGTAGCACTAAATCATTCAGAACCCATTTGTGTGGTTGTGTCACGCGAAGTCTTAGGAAAATGGATTAATATAGAAAGAATCTTCCCGACAGTCTGATTCAGAATTCATGGTTTCACAGTACTGCCGTGACTACCCATCACCAGCTTCCTATACCCTGGGGCTCGTCTGCTTTCACCTCCTGCCATCCAGCAGAAAAGCCAGCATCAGACACTGTGTGCTACACCGTGAACTCAGCCTCCGTTCAAGTTTGGTAGGATGATTAGTAGGTTTTAAAGACAATTTAGCACTTACCCTGACTCTTTCTCTCAGAAGGAATCAGAAAAATTGACTAGGTATTGACTGGGCTTGGAAAAGGATGAGCATTAGAATATTTGCATGATGAATCGCAAGAATATGTGAAACTGAACCACAGGAAAACGTGGCTCTCTTCCCCACAATGATAAACTCTCTAAAGGTTGGGGGAGGGTTGGAGTGCAAAGTAAAAGCCATCCATATACAGGCGAACAGCTGCCCTCACCCCCGCCCTTGCCACCATCATACTTGAATATATAAAACTGAAATAAAATCCTGTTACAGATTCATGAGATTGAGAAGGAATGAAATACGCAATACAACAAGAGCCAACTGTGCTTGATTCCAATTATTATTCTAACATTTACTAGAAATACAACCTTAATCTTCAATTTCCTTTTCTATCAACACTAATACGCAACTCACTAAGTTATTTTAATGGTTTAAGAAATAATGTATATAAAACCTCGTGTGATACTTAGCTTATTATAAGTGCAGAGTAAGTAGAAACCTACTTTGATTAGAAAATGAACATTTATATAATATATAATTCATATATTATATAAATGTATATTTGTGACAATTTCAAGGATCTATCGTTAACACCGAGTGCCCCAGCTTTTCCAATCCACTTTTATATTTACTCTCTGATCAGATACTGAGATTATATTGAAACTAGGGATTAATGTAAGGAAACAAACAATAGAAGCAAAAGTAGGAGAAATAAAAGGAAACTAAAGGGAACTCTAGAGATGTTTTTATTAAGGAAAACATGTGGAAAAATGCAGCTTCAATGTGCTTCTTTCAGCCTCAAATGCAACCTCATCTCCTGCACAGAGGCAGCTTCGTCACGGAAGGAGCTCTGGAAAGAGTACCAATCCGCCAGGTCTTAAATTCTGGCTGACGACTAGCTAACCACGTAATCTTGCAGACAATAATACTATTCGTTCACAGAGTTCTTCTGAGAATTAAATCAGGTAAATATAGAAAGCAATAAAAAGGATGTGTTCTGATAATACCTGCTCAATAAAGAGTTAGCTAGAAGTCTATCTAGGAATATAATGCTCTGGTCACTCTGAATATTTCCCATGATTACTAATTCTCAAAAAAAAAAAAAAAAAAAAGACAACATTTACAGCATCCTTGGTTCCACTACAAAATTGTTGTACCTTGTAAACTGCCAAGTGCAAGGCTGTAAATCCATTTCTTGTCAGTCGAGATGGGCGGAGACCTTTTAACATAAGGGTTCTAACATGTGACTTGTTGCCTTAGAGAGAAAATGAAAAAAGGTTAAATCGTTGGGATAGACTAAGTGACTTAAAAATCTCTCTTTAGCTTAATGATAAATGTCATACCGATACATAAAAATATCAGACTCCTGGTCTGCATGCCATTTGTAAAGTTTTTTAAATCATTGACAGCCTTATGTAATAGTGAGCATTTTATGACACTCATAAAGCTTTGTATCAGTGCTGTGTATTTCAATGCATTTGTGTTACATTTTTTATCTGATGCTCACATCATGCTTAAAAAACAGAAAAAAACATAAAAAAATTCACCTTAATAAACTATTTGTGAAAAAAGCTTAGATAAACATCTAGTTGCACAGGATTCCTCAGAACATCATTAGCAGTGGAGCTTATTTACAGTAGAGGAATCTGGAGGAAATGGCTAAGGTTGGGAAGGCATGTTTAAATTTGGGGGGAAGACATGTTAAGCAGAGTTGGCTTAGTTTGTCTGGGAGGAGTGGTTAAAGGATATGTTTAGAGTCAATACTTAAATGTTAGTGTTCTTTTAAAAACTGAGTTCAAAGGACACCAGCTTGGATTAATAACAGCAATAAAAACCCATTCATTAATTCCATATATTTATTGAGTACCTACTATATGCCAGGCACCATCCTAAATACCTGAGATATATTAATGAACAAAACAGAACAAGATATGAGGTAAATTAAACTCTTAATCTTCACTTTTATCAGTCTTCACTTTGAGATTTTATCTTTGGCATTTTTTACCTTCCACATATTTTATTGCAGACTGTGAAGCAATTACTTGATGATATTTTGAGGAATGCTTTCAGTGCTTCTGTATTTAACCTAGTCCCTGACTGGCACGCCCAATACTGAAAAATGCTTTAAAAATTTTTTTCCAAGCAAACTAAGGAACTTGGTTCAAGGCAGGAGTACAATAAAACTTAAATTCAGAGTTAAATCAATTGGAATATCTGCCTGGTAGTTACTTCTTCAACTGAAGGTTATCAGGGTCCAGGGGCAAAGCAAAAGAGAAAATTGAGTATGAACAGAATTCTTTCGTAGACTATTAAGCAGCTCAAATCACTAACCATATATACATATAACTAGTTTATAAAGTATTGAGTTTCAAGCACTCACCTCCACAAATGCAACATAAATGAAGTAGAGACAGACCATTTTCTGTGCGATAATTTAAATTGACTTTACTGAAGGCATCATCAGAGCTGAAAAAAATATTTTACAGATGATCACAAATTCCATCTTTTAGTTTATCATTTTTCATTTGAAAAATTATAATAGGAAATCTAGTTACTACAAATTCAGAAATACATCTCTTCTAGGATTCTTTGGTACCTAGAAAAAGAATTTTGAATATACCTCTAGACGAAGATTAAAATCAAGAGAAAATAATATTAGAAGTTTGAGAGACCAAGTTTAAATTAAATACTCATACAAGTTCTATGTTCTATGTATAACTGGAACTTTTCTGGGCACCTTGAGAATTATAATTTATATAGAAATAGAAAACAGATATTTGAAAGTAAACTCATTTTCCTCACAATCAAAATTTCATATAATATTTATGGAAAAATTCAAGAAATTATCTCCAAAAAAAAAATTAGTAGCAATTGATAAGAGACTGGGAAAAAGGAATACAATCCCTGTATTACAAATTCTGCCTGAAGCAAAGCTTCCTCTTACTCTGACTGGGTCAGATTTCACAGATAAAGAAGGTCTCAACTCTGATACGGTACTGTGATACAGTCCCAGGTGAGAAGAGAAGGAATGTTAGTGATTCAATTAATAAAATCCTTGCTTTTGTCTGAACAAAGACCGTTGCCCCAGGAGGGCCCTAGAGAGCCATAGGTAGCCTTTGAAAAAGAATGTACAGCTAAAATTCTTGACCTCTTGAGGTCATGGGTACTCCCAGGACATATTTCAGTAGAAATGCGATCATATCTTTGGCTTCCCAGGTTAATTTCAAGCTGCCTCCTGCCTATTTAAATCTCCAGCAGCTTTCGTGAGATAGCACCACCTTTGGTGAATGAGCCTTCATCTCATTTGTAAAGTACTTACTCTTGAAAGGTACTATAAATTCAGAACATTATCATCAACACACCCAGTTAAGAACTTCAAAAGCTATTAGAATTTTAAAATAGGAAAAGAAAAGGTACTATTCTCCAGGGTGCTGCTAAAAACAAACCCCTCTAAATCTAGGGCTCTGGAAGGATCTCAGTGAAATGCTTTCATTAGCAATGGCAATGGTGCTGCTAAAAACAAACCCCTCTAAATCTAGGGCTCTGGAAGGATCTCAGTGAAATGCTTTCATTAGCAATGGCAAATAGCAGTGGTTTGTTTCCACAGGCTTGGGAATATTCCAGAGCTTTCCCACCCTCTTGCTCTCCATGTTCAGCTTCCCTGTAGCAAAGTCCATAGCCTATGCTTATTGAGAAATATACCCTCACTTGCTTTGGAATGCCACAGGCAGAAGTACAATAGACTTCAACAGGTTATTATTATTAATTTTTTTACAAATCATGAAAATATAATGTATCAAGGAGCCCAGGACTTCATGAAAAATAGTTAAGAATTTGATCCATTTCTGTCTGCACTTTCCTCTAGCTCAGAGAACAATGGAAAAAAATGAGTCTGATGAAAATGCCACTTTTAAATGTCTACCTAAAATAAGCCTAATTGTAAATGATATAGCTATTTTATGGTATGTGCATTAATTTTATAAAATAACACAGTTCTTGGAAATATGTGGCCTTTGCCTGAGCCCGGCTTCTAAACTCTCAAAGTCAAATTGTATTATAGGTGTCTTGGAGAAATTAAACTAAATAGGCAGTGCTAAACCAAGTGCACTCGGCAGCCCGGACTTGGAAGTGCATTCACAGCGGTCTTCTCCGTGGTTATGATTTCAAACAGTACAGGTTTTCTGAAGAGCTGAATTCTGCTTTTGGAGCTAGGTAGATTGGATATTTCTCTTCAGGTTTGTCGGAAATTAGCATGCATAAATAAAAAGAGGAAGAAAATTGTAACTAGCAATTGAGGCTGGTGATTGGCAGTGGCTCAGAAGCTCTGAGCTGCTTTGGCTTTTCTTACTTGGTCCTTTCATTGTCCAGCAAATGAAACACACTGTCAGAACACAAGGCAGAAAACAAAGTCTTGGAATGGGGCAGGAGGGGGAAGCCTTCCGTTAAATGTAAAGAATTACTTAACCTTTAGCCTAAGAGAAAAAGAGAGAAGGAAGTACTTTCTTTTGAGGTATCTATAATGAACTGAATGGCAAATGCTGAAAGAAGAAAAAGCTTGGGAGCGCCTCTGTAGCAATAAACCCTTGAGGAAAAGTAGTTTTTCAATGTGTATCTCTGATATTATACTGCAGTACCTGCCATGTCCTGATGTTTCAAAAGTGGAAAAAATCATTTCAGCCATGTAGGTTATTCTTAAAATTTGGTCCTTGTATTTGCACCCGGATTGAAATCCTATTCTGCTTTCTGCCTTTTAAGTAATGTTTTTTCCCCCCTCCAATTCGGGATAGTTGTTTAACCTCTTCAGGTCTTATTTCTTTAGTTGTAAAATGATTAAAATGATACATATGACATTGTATTGTTGTGAAGAATAAATGAGGTTAAGCGCTTATGACAGCACATGGCACGTGATATGTTAACACTGCTGTCACTACCAAATTCACTGTTAAGGTACAACTTGCCTTTTGTAGTCTAATTCTTAAGAGAATTTTAGCACAATTTTTAAACCACGTTTGACTTTTTTTGGCCTCTCACAATTGATACTCTGTAAAATGTCCTGATTTTGACAACCAATTCTATAGATACACACGTTTTATGCTGACAGTGACTCAGGCGCCTAGAAAATGTCTTTTCTTTACATATTTTTAAAAATGGCCACCAAGTTCACTGTTGTGACACCTGGCACCTATCATTGATCGACAGCAACTGCTAGAATCACAGTTCTGTAATACAAGGTCAGCAGCATCATTACTATGGGGAACTGATTTTCAACACTGGAGGTACTAAAAGAACAACAAATGCAAAGGGGGAAAAAAGATTGTCTGAAAATCATTTTATTGAGATGGTGGACTCAATTGCTTTCTCATTCCATGATCTAAGTTTGATGATACATTCAGTGTGGCACACACCACCTACAGAATACCAACTGTGTGGTCCACCTCTGTTCTTAATGCTCATTTCAAGTTGTTTTCAACGAACTACTTGCTATAAACTACTCATTGTTCCTAGATCCTGCAAGTGTGTCAGTCTTAGGACTATGCAAGCTAGATGCAATCCTACAACTGGCCTTAGCATTAGTCCTTAGCATGATCTCTAATGTCCCAATCAGTTTTCCAAAGAAAATAAACACTGAATAAAAAAAAAATATATATATATATGATATTAAAGTTCACAGCTTTATTAAAAATGATACTAAATGAATGTCTAGTTTATACAAATAAAATAGAAAGCATAAATTATATTAGAGACGTTTTATTTAACAATTCCTTTGTTCTCTGAATCTTATGCTAGACTTGACCATTATTCATAAGTGAATCAGTACACAGCCCTAAAGAACTCCTTGTCAAAACTGAACTGCAGTCTTTACTTATGTTCTCCTCTTGAATTCTATTCTCCTTGAACACATGCAACTTCTATTAATGCCAACAAAATGAGTAGAGAATAGACTCCCACAATGCTTGGCAGTCAAGTGCAATTTTAATAGTAACAGCTTTTTATCTTAACTTTAATAACTGGAATGCAATTTTTAAATAAAAGTTACTTTGGAGCTATATTTGAATCCTAATTCTCACTTCCTGTTAACTTCTAGTCAAATGTTTCTGTTTTGATACATGCAATTAAAATAGTCAAGATTTGAAAGCAATCATTCCTAGGAGAGAGATTTCATTTTCTCTTCTTTTGCCTCATCTAAAGGAACTGTGTATGTCAAATTCGCTGCCAAATGAACATCACTTACGTATTCAATACCCTAAGCTCAATTTATTTTTTAATTTTCCCTTACATTTTTCATCACCTGCCATGTCATATTGTAACTTAACATATCCTAATGAGTTCATAGTGCTTGCTGGAGCATGAATAAAGATCCTAATTAAAATGAAGTCACTATTATGAATATATTTCTAATAGTAAATTCTGTCCTTAATCATTAAAAATGGTAGTTTTCTACCCAAAGGTTACTTTATTTCTTGTAGCATAATGAACTCTTTTCTTAGCCTTTACCTTTTATCCAGAAAAGTATGCAGTTTTGTGATCCAATTAAGCTTTTCATGACCTCATCCTTTTAAGAAGATATCTGACATGATCACAAATGGAAATTGGTTAAAACATAGCATGTGAGCACTTGGCCAAAGAATAACACACTTCTGTCCAAAATGTTCAGATAGGTAGATAATATTTTTTAAGTTAACTCACTGGCTGTAATTTAGGTAAGGACCAAAGAGGTAAAAGAAGGTAAGGATTTGTTATAGATCATCTAGTTTCCCAAACTGATTATTTAGGTTTCAAATGGGTGGTTGTAACTTTTTGTGTAGTTCTTGATAGCTGTTGCTGATTTCCCCTCAAATAACAGAAATAGAAAAAAATCTTCAATAAGATCTATTCCCAAGCTATATCCCTAGGAAGTGTCTAGAAACATATTTGTTCAATATCTCCCAAATCAAATATGCAAATTAACAATATGAAGTATACTCATTCTTTCATTCATACTGTAAACAATTACTGAGATACGGAGGCAGGGAGAGTCAGAATAATTAATGATCGTAAAACTGGGACAATAATAATTCTGATCTCATAGGGTTATTGTGAGGTTTAAATGGGTAAGAACTTGTAAGACTTTTGTAAATATTAGCTGCTATAATAATTATTTTTATGAAAGCATTGATATTGATGATTTTAGCTTTTTCATTGTTTTGCTTTGCATTTGAGAAGGGGGATAGGAAAAGATGAAAGTATAATGGGATGGGAGGGAAGAACAGAGGGAGGATAGAAAGGGAGAAATAGGGAGGGCAAGAGAGAAGGAGAGGGGCTGAGACACACAGACAGAAACGGAGACAGCGACAGAGAGAGGTGGCAATCAAGCTGCTTCATAAGTTTTTTTACAAGATATTCCTGTAAAATTATTATTCATAACTAGTTTTACCTAGACAAGCAAGAAAAGAAGCAGAGAGACAGACAGTCTTGGTGCAAGGTGA